TTAACTTGCCCAAAACAGTAAAAGAAAAAGCTGTTTTCATGTGAACTTCTGCAGACTTTGAATTTCTGAGCCCCTCCCCTTACATGCTGGGTATAAAACTCTGAAACTCCCTGAACTTGGGGTTCAGGGGATTAATTAATTACAGCAAAAGCTGTGCCCTCTGAACCTGGCTGCAGCCAAATAAAACTGTTTTCTGTTATCTTCAGTGCCTTGCCTTGTCTGTCTCTACAACAGTGTGAATTTGCTCTCTTTTAGCTCCAACAGCTATCATCTATTCTTGGACATCAGAGCTTCTGGTCAGACTTGGATTGGGACTTACCTCTTTGTCTTTCTTGGTTCTCAGGCCTATGGGTTTATGTTGAAACTATACCACTGGCCTTTCTTGCAGGCAGCATATTGTGGGACTTTGGGCCTCCATAATCATGAGTCAATTCTATATTAAATCTCTTTCTGTAACCCATATATATCCTATTGGTTCTGTTGCTCTGGAGAACCCTAATATAATTATGTACCAAATTATAAAGTAAACTTGTACCCTAGGTGATGGTTAAAAAGCTTAAAACTCTGCCAGGTGCAGTGGCGCACACCTGTAATCCCAGAGGCTCTGGAGGCTAAGACAGGAGGATAACTAGTTCAAAGCCAGCCTCAGCAAAAGTGAGGTACTAAGCAACTTGGTGAGATCCTGTCACTAAATAAAATACAAAAGAGGACTGGTGATGTGGCTCAGTGATTGAGTGTCCCTGAGTTGTATCCCTGAGTTCAAAAAAAAAAAAAAAAAAAAAAAAAAAGCTTAAAAATATTACTTTGAGGTATTTACTTGGAAGCAGAATTGCTTGGTCATAGGGTACCTGCACCTTTAAATTTATTAGTACCAAATTGTCCTCCAAAGTGTTTGCCAAGCCACAATGTCCCCAGTTAGAGATGAGCTCTGATAGTTTCACATATTTGTCATACTTACTATAAACTTCTTAGTTTTTGCCATTGGTTCCTTTTGAAATGGTTGTTTTAACTCCCTTTTCTTACATATATGATTTATATCCCTGTAAACTATTTTTGGCTTGGGTTTCTGTTTACCATAGACTAATCATATCAAAGTAGAATTGCTGGCCTAAAGAGAGTAAAATAGCTGGGACTTATTTATTTATTTATTGGTATCGGGAACTGAACTCAGGGTCACTGGATCACTAAGTCACATCCCCAGTGTTATTTTGTATTTTATTTAGAGACAGGGTCTCACTAAGTTGCTTAGTGCCTTGCTTTTGCTGAGGCTGGCTTTGAAATTGCCATTCTCCTGTTTCAGCCTCTGGGTTTATAGACTTGGGTCACTGAGCTGGCTCAATCTTTTTTTTTAAGACAATACTTCTGCCCCACCCTGAGAGACCTAACAATGCCTCTTAAAAGTTTAGTTAAAAAACTTAAAACTATGCCGGGTGCAGTGGCGCACACCTGTAATCCCAGAGGCTCTGGAGGCTAATACAGGAGGATAACTAGTTCAAAGCCAGCCTCAGCAAATGTGAGGTACTAAGCAACTTGGTGAGATCCTGTCTCTAAATAAAATACAAAAGAGGGCTGGTGATGTGGCTCAGTGGTTGAGTGTCCCTGAGTTCAATCCCTGGTACCAAAAGAGAAAAAAAGCTTAAAAATATTACTTTGATATTTGCCCCCCCATTATCTTTTTTTTTTCAGATACACTTTTCATTTTGGAATAATTATAGTCTTATAGAAAATTATGATAGTATATTCTTTTTTTAAAAAAAATATTTAGTTTTAGGTGAACACAATATCTTTATTTTGTTACTATGTAGTGCTGAGAACCCAGTGCTCCACACATGCTAGGAAAGCACGCTATCACTTGAGCCACATCCCAAGCCCATGGTAGTATATTCTTCACACAGTTTTTCCTAATGTTACCATCTTACATAATCATGGTACAAAGCTGTCAAAACTATTAACTAAGCTAAAAATTTTATTTGCAATCTGCAGTTTTTTCCATTAATGTCCAGCCACCACACTGCAGGACAGTTTTTCAGTGATTTCTGGTTTCTTTTTTCTTTCTTTAGGTAGTAGGGATTGAGCCCAGAGAGACTTTACCACTGAGGTATGTCTTCCTAGTACTTTTAATACAGGATCTCCCCAAGTTGCTAAGAGTCTCTTGAAGTGCCCCAGGCTGGCCTCCAACTTGCAGTTCTGCCTCAACTCCAGGCATGTACCACCACAACTGGCTCTTTTCTGGTTTCTATAACCTCACTGGTTATAAGGACTGGTGAGATATTTTGTGGAACATCCTTCCATTGCGATATGTTTGCTATTTTTCTCCTGGTTAGACTGGGATCATGGGGTTTTTTTTGGAGAGAAAGACCACAGGAAAAGTGTCATTTTCATCAAATCACATCAAGGGTAATCATTGTTATGTGTAATTATTGTTTTTTTATTATTTTATTGATTTTTTAAAATACATGACAGTGGAAAGCATTACAGTTCTTATTAAACATATAGAGCACAATTTTTCATATCTTTGTATATAGAACGTTCACACCAATTCATGCCTTTATACTGAAGTGGCACTCCCTTTCTCCACAGAAAAGCCCTCTTCACCATGGCTTATTTTAGGACTGTCAGCAAAAGAGTCTCTGCAAAAGAGTCCAATGTAGATAAACTTCCTATTTTCATGTTGCCCTGTTTTACTTGGCCACTGGCCGGGAAGATATCAACACTTCAGGTGCTGGACACCCCCTTACTAGTTTTTCACAAACATATCCAGTATAATACTTTGTAGAACTGTGCAAACAAGGCCTCTGGCCTTGAGCTGGGCTTCACAGAGATGTCTACATTTTTAAGATAAGTTACAATTGGGCTCCATGGTAACAGCTGGCAGGAGGAGGAAAGAAAGGGGAAAAGAAGCTCTCCTCTTCTCAGGTGTTGTCCTTGAAGAGTTAACTTGCCCAAAACAGTGAAAGAAAAAGCTGCTTTTATGTGAACTTTTGCAGACTGTGAACTTCTGAACCCCTCCCCTTACTTGCTGGGTATAAAACTCTGAAACTCCCTGAACTCGGGGTTCGGGGATTGATTGATTACAACAAAAGCTGTGCCCTCTGAACCTGGCTGCAGCCAAATAAATCTGTTTCCTGCTATCTTTGGTGCCTTGCCTCTTTTGTCCCTAAAACAATACATGTACTTTTTTTTTTGCATTACAATTCTTATTACACATATATACCACAATTTTTCACACCTGTTTAAATATAAAGTATGTTAACACCCAATTCAAGTCTTCATACATGTACTTTGGATAATGATGTCCATCACATTCCACCATCATTGCTAATCCCCTGCACCCTCCTTTTTCCTCCTATCCCCTCTTCCCTATCTAGAATTTATCTAATCCTCCTATGCTCCCCCCTACCCCCCACTATGAATCAGCCCTCCTTATATCAGAGAAAACATTGGGCATTTGTTTTTTTGGGATTGGCTAACTTCACTTAGCATTATCTTTTCCAATGCCATCCATTTACTTGCAAATGCCATGATTTTATTCTTTTTTAATGCTGAGTAAAATTCCATTGTGTATATATGCCACTTTCTTTTTTTATCCATTCATCCACTAAAGGGCATCTAGGTTGGCTCCACAGTTTAGCTACTGTGAATTGTGCGCTATAAACATTGATGTGGCTGTGTCCCTGTAGAATGCTGTTCTTAAGTTCTTTGGGTATAGATCAAGGAGAGGAATAGCTGGGTCAAATGGTGGTTCCATTCTCAGATTTCCAAGGAATCTCCATACTGCTTTCCATATTGACTGTATCGATTTTAAGTCCCACCAGCAATGTATGAGTGTACCTTTTTCCCCACAGCCTCTCCAACATTTATTGTTGTTTGTTTTCATAATAGCAGCCATTCTGACTGGAGTGAGAAGATATCTTAAAGTAGTTTTGATTTGCATTTCTCTGGTAATCATTGTTATTTACACCCCCCTCCCCCTTTTTTTTTAAACTGGGGATTGAACTCACAGCCACATCCCCTGTCCTTTTTTATATTTCATTTAGAGACAGGGTCTCACTGAATTGCTTAGGGCCTCACTAAGTTGCTGAGGCTGGCTTTGATCTTGTGATCCTCCTGCTTCAGCCTCCTGAGCTGTGGGATTATAAGTGTGAACTTCCAGGCCTGGCTGTTATTTACCTTTCATCACTTGACTGAGGTAGTGTGTATCAGGTTTCTTATTGGAAGGTCATTTTCCCCAATCCCTTTCCACACTATATTCTTTGCACAGCCCACTCAGGAGTCTGTGGGGATCAATACACCCATCTTGGTGTTAATAATTACAATTCCATCTTAGGGAAGATTTATCCCTTCTCCAGTTATTTCTTTAATCATTTATAGCACTACAGTCTATTTTATACTCTAGATTATTACTTAATCTTATGTGATTTATTACTAAAATTCTTCTGGGTTTGGCCTTTGGGCAATTTACGTTGGTTCAAGCGTCCTGTATCATGCCCTCATTGTTTCTCTCTTTTTTTTTTTAACCACTTCCCTATTTCTGGCCTACCTAAAGTTCCAGGCTTGGCTGGCATTTGGGTGTGCCTGGTGCCTACAGTAGTCTGTTTGTCTACGGAGCACTGGCCCTTTTCCTTAGAAAGTGGTATTTATATACCCCAAAGTGGTATTTATATGTTAACTACTTCTTCTGGCGGGGAAACTCCCCAGGAGCCGTCCACACTCTGAGGTCAACTCCTCCTCCCGCTGGTGGACCACCCCAAGCCTCTGACCTCCAGCTTCCGGCGAGCCCCGAGCCCGGCGAGCCCTGTGCGCCGGCGCACCCACGCCAGGGCCGTGACGTCACGACGCCGGACGTGCAGCGGTCGGAGCCGAGAGTCCAGCGGCGTCCTTGCGCTTCCTGCCCGCTTCTCGCCTGCGGCCCAAGTGTTCACAGGTGACTGTGCCCGTTCGGTCGGGGCTACCCAGCACCCCCGCATCAGGCCCGCGGGCTTTCTCTTTTCCCCGGGCCGCCCCATGCCTCCTGAGCTCTCTCCTGGTCCTCCGGACGGATCCCCGCCTCTCCGTTGGGGCCCTTTAGCCCTTTCCTGCGTCCCAGGCTCGCCAGAGCTGCGGAGCCCCAGGATGCCTCCGCCTCTCCCTCCCCGCACTTCTCTCCGTACTCCCTCTCCTGGCGTCCCTCCTCTTTCTATCCCCTGCAGCCACCCAGCCCTGCGCTCTTCTTTGGGGACACCCCCGCTACCCACCCCTCGAATTACTTTTCTTCCTCCCTATCCTTGAGTTCCTCCTCCCTGGTGACCCTTAGAGTCACCCAGCCCAAAGCCCCTCCGAAGGGACTCCCCTCTCAAGGTCGCCCGAAGCGTCTCATTTTTCCAAGTCAGCCTGGAGACAGCAACCATCAGGGTGCGGCCACCGCCCTGCCCCTGCCTGGCGGTGTGACACGTCCAACCTCAGGGGCCTGCTACTGCCCTTCCTCCTGCAGCTGCCTCCGCGGATCCTGCGCCTCCGGTCTTCCCATGCCTGGCCTCAGCATGGAGGGGCAGTTTGCGGCCTTTTAGGTTCTGCTCCCGCCCGGTGGTCTGCCCCTCTTCGGAGTCCGCAGTAGCCCTGGGGCTTAGCACGCGGGGAGGGACCCGCCTCTGCTTCCTTTCACTTACTCTTATCCTTGCACTGTTTTTAGTTTTAGGTGCTTAGTGTGCATTATCTTTTATTTATTTATTTTCACATTTGATTCTGTTGCTCATTTCGGTTGAGAACGCTGGAGGACAGGGATTTTTATTTTGTGTTGGAATAGGCTAGTTGTTTTGTTCACGTAGAAGAACCTTCATAAATGAGCGAATAAATTCCTAGTGTTTCAGGATGGGTAGACGAAAGGAATGGTGTGGATTATTAAAACTAGCTAGAGAACATGGCCAATTCAAAATGTTACTGATTCCTGGCTCTAGAAAATCATTGACTTTTTTGGGTGCCTACCATTTGACTATGAAAGGGAGGAGTCTCCGCCTCAAGGAAGAGAGAGGAATATTCCGTGGCCGCCTGTGGCCTCAAAGAGAACTAGTGCTCATGTAGTAAATGGCTTATCTGAAGTTACTCCGGGAATTAGTATCCAAGGTGGGACTGTTACTTGTTTATTTACTTATTGCCCTTGATATTGTTTGGACAAATCAATGACCAAAACATGCATGCACAAACACATCTGTGTATTTACCTTTGCAGTGGGTGTATATGCTTAAGGGCCTGCATGTGCTTGGGAATACTGCAGCCAGTGGTTCAAAGCCAGTGGCACTCAGGAGAGTTTCTAAGGCCAGGAAGTTCCTAATCCTTGGCTGGCCTGCTGGTTAACATAGGACAGGTATTTTGGGAAGAAACACTCTGGTCCTGCCTGGGCTTCCTTTGTGTCTGCTATTTACCTTGTGTTGCAGGGATCTCTTTCCTTGACTGTCTTCCCCTTCACACTGAATTTGGTGAGGGCAGGAATCAGATTAATGCTCTAGGATCTTCCTGACAGGACAACATTGTGTCTGGCATAAAGTCGGTGGTATGTTGCATTTTGAGGTAGACTGCAGAAAACAACTCAGAACTAAAGGTAGGTTTTTTCTAGTGTTATATTTTCAGGATGTTAGCACAGTTTGTAAGTAAGTTTCCTTATAATCTCAAGGATTGTGAATTTATGAAATATACACAGCAGAAAGGTTTGTTTGTTTATTTGTTTGTTTTTTTTTTTTTTTGTACTGGAGATTGAACCCAAGGGGTACTGTTTTTATTTATTTATTTTTTTAAAAAAGGTTGAAGCAGGGTCTTGCTAAGTTGTCTGGGCTGACCTCAAATTTAGAATCTTCCTGCCAGTTCCAAAGTAGCTTAGATTAAAGGCGTGAACTGCCACTCCAGGCCAGATGCCACACTTGGAGTTAGTCTTCCTTGGGAAGATGGAGGTTTCTTAACTTATTCAGAAAATTTTGATGTGCTTCTAAGCTTGCCTTAATATTTGGTTTCTTTCTCCTTTTTTCTTTCTTCTGTCTTCTGGATGTCAAAGAAATTAAAGAAATTAAAGAATCACTTTATTAGTGGCAGTACCTACCAAAAAACTACAAACTTAAAAATGTGACAAAAAGGGAACTTTTCCCCTCCATTAACAGGAATTTTTTTGTGGTGGTGTTCTAATTAGTTATACATGACAGTAGAATGCATTTTGAAACATTGTACACAAGTGGAGCATAAGTTCTCATTCCTCTGGCCTTAAGTGGTTATGAATCACACCAATCATACATGTATATAGAGTAATGTGTGTCTCATTCTACTGTCCTTCCCATTCCCACTGTCCCCCCCCCCCATCCAAAATTCCTTCATTCTTCCCTAAACACCCCTCCCACTAGGGATTAGCATCCGTTTATCAGAGAAAACATTTGCCCTTTGGTTTGGAGGATTGGCTTATTTCACTTAGCTTGATATTTTCTAATTCCTGTAAATGCCATAATTTTATTCTTCTTTAAGTCTGAGTAATATTCCATTGTATATATGTACCACATTTTCTTTATCCGTTCATCTGTTGAAGGGCATCTAGGTTGGTTCTATAGTCTAGCTATTGTGAATTGAGTTGCTATAAAGGTAGCATTTGCATAAATGTCTTTACTTGGTTACTGATTTGACCTAGTTTGGAATTCTGATGTGGAAGTCATTTTTTCTCTTGTTCCATTGTCTTCTGTCATTGTCCATAAAGATGTATTTTGTATTTTATTTAGAGAGAGGGTCTCAATGAGTTGCTTAGTACCTTGCAGTTGCTGAGGCTGATCATCCTGCTCAACCCCCACCCCACCACCCCCCAGCTGGGATTACAGGTGTGTGCCACTGTGCTGGGCCTTTTCTCACGTGTTTTACAATGCATGCTTTCTGTACATATTTAAGAGAGTGTTACTATAAAACTTTGAAAGTCTTGTTTGCTTATAATTTATCATCTGATGTGCTTCCCTGTAGGGTGTTCATAGAGAATGAACTTTTTTTTTTTTTTTTTATTGAAGAGCATCCACATGAATCAGTATCCGTAAATCTTTCCTCTTAGGCTGTGCCCCTGGCCCAGAGTTAGCATCTAGTAATAAGTAAAGGAAGAGGGCTGAGAGTTTAGGACCTATCTGTCCTATATTCCTCTTCTAAAAGTGGCATGTGTTGAACTCTCAGCTGTGCTGGGGCCAGGATCAGGGAAGGCTGCTACCTGGATGAGTAGAAGGCCTCAATGCCTTTTTTTTTTTTTTTTTTTAAATTATGGATGGATATAGTACCTTTATTTTGTTTATTTAATTTTTTTTTCTAATGTGGTGTTGGGCATTGAACCCATTGCCTCACATGCTAGGCAAGCGTACCACCACTGAGCCACAACCCCACCCCAGACTTCTTTGCCTCTTAAGTCTTTCAGTAAATTCTCCTGCTATGTCTTTCACCTTTAGAATTATCTTATACTTCTATTTTCTGAATCTTTCCAGTATTCTCAGACAGGAGTTGGCTTGCTGTGTTTTTTGCTTCTGTTAACTATGATAAAACAAAGAAGGCCAAATTTTAATTTAGTTACCAATTGCTTTGTTCAGTTGCTTTGGAACTTTCAAATATTTTTTGTCTTTTTCTTTTTATGATACAGGGAATTGAACCCAGGGCCTCTCGCATCCACTTGACTACGTCTCTAGACCTTATTTTATTTTATTTTGAGACAGTCTTGCTAAATTGCTCAGGCTACCCTTGAATTTGTAATCCTCCTGTCTCTGCCTCCTGAGTAGCTCGGATTACAGGCATCTGTCACCACACCCTGTGTAGCTGCTTATTTAAGGACTTGTCTTTGGTGTGTATTATTTATCCTGTTTGGTGTGGAGGGTCTGGATTGTGTCACATATTGCTTATGGGTTGGATGCTGAGGCCAGGATGAGTTGCTGCCAGTAATGGAAGCTAATGAGGCAAGTAGTGCCCAGGTGGTAGTGATACCAATGTGGAGGCCAACACAGTAGATATAGACAAAGGATGTGCATCTCGTTAGGATAAAGTGCTTACTCCTGCACTCAGATGACTGCCACTTTTCTGTCCTTGTCAGATGTTATATGCCCTAGCTTCATTGCCCCAAGATCTGTGTCTAATGCTTTGTGATCTGGATAAAGATTCCATAAGGTGGTTTAGGAAGCTCCCATTATCATGGGACTTTTATGTTCTTTTGGATTCCTTGGGCTTTTCTGGAGTGCCTGCCCAGCAAGTGCAAGTAACCCCACTCAATGCATTCCTTGAGTGTTGATTTGGAGGTTCTAGGAGTGGAGTACAATTGTTTGTATACACTTGACTGAAGAATGGTCTTCTATTAGGGAAGATCGTCCAAGCACACAGCTTTGGGAGGAACACACATGAAGCAGTAAAGGAGAAAGGGGCATCTATAGCTAGCCAGATCCGCTGAGTCATCCCTGGTGATCAGTGGGATTACATATATCACAACCAGTTTGCCCACACATCCCTTATTACATAATTTAGTGTGTGAATCCACGGTTCCTTTCTCCAGGGCCATTCTCCCCAGTAGCTGAAGTTTAGGTTGGTTTCAAGTTTTAACCTATATCTTCTCATATACCTAAGTTTTAGTATGCTTGAACCCTCATCTTAGAAGTTTGTTTTCTCTTTGTCTTGAAAAGGAAATCCTAATATCTAAAACAGTAAAAGCTGCACATATCCCTCATTATAAGCACAACAGCCATTAGACTTATCCACTGAGGGGATATTATACAAAATAAAAATGTGTCAATATATATTTTTTAAATTAACCCCTAGGCCCTTAACTGGGTGAAATCAAATCATACTTCCATACTGGAAGAGTTGTCTTTTTTCCAGTACATTTTATATCAATGTGTCTTATTTTTTTTAAATATTTAGTTTTTAGTTATAGTCGGACACAATATCTTTTTTTCATTTATTTATTTCTATGTGGTGCTGAAGATTGAACCCAGGTCCTCGCACGTGCTAGGCAAGCGCTCTACTGCTGAGCCACAAGCCCAGCACCACTGCTCCCCTATGTATCTTATTTTAATCTTTTTTTTTTTTTTTTTTTAAAGTACCAGGGATTGGGCACAAGGGTGCTTAACTACTGAGTCACATCCCCAGCCCTTTTTATAGTTTATTTAGACACAGGGTCTGGCTTAGTTGCTTAGGGCCTTGCTAAGTTTCTGAGACTGGTTTTGAACTTGTGATCCTCTTATCTCAACCTCTTGAGCTGCTGGGACTACAGGTGTGTGCCACACTGTCCAGCCTAGTTTTAATCCTTTTATATTCAGGATGCCATTCAGTCTCTGTTGGTTCTAAGAATAGTAATTATTTGAAATTGACATGCCACTAGATGATTTGTCCACTAATGCCCTTAATTTAGCTGGTTTCTTCTTTTTTGGTGGGGGTGGGTGGTACGTACCGGGGATTGAACTCCAGGGTAATAGATCACTGAGCCACATCCCCAGCCCTATTTTGTATTTTATTTAGAGTCCGAGTCTTACTGAGTTACTTAGTACCTTGCTTTTGCCAAGGCTGGTTTTGAACTAGGGATCCTTCTGTCTCAAATTCCCAAGCCACTGGGATTATCTTTATCCTTTCTTTCTTTTTTTTTTTTTTTTAAATATGTATTTTTTAGGGCTAAGGCTATGGCTCAGCGGTAGTGCACTTGCCTGGCATGTGTGAGGCACTGGGTTCGATTCTCAGCACAATGTATAAATAAATAAAGGTCTAGCAACAACTAAATAAAAAATTTAAAAAACCCCTTAAAATATGTATTTTTTAGTTGTTGATGGACCTTTATTTTATTCATTTATTTATATGCGGTGCTGAGAGTCCAACCCAGTGCCTCACATATGCCAGGCAAATTATGTATCTCTGAGCCACAACCCCAGCCTGATTATCTGTGTCATTTTTAAAGGCATTTCTGAAAGTAGATTGTTGTTGTTACCAGGGATTGAACCCAGGGACACTTAACCACCAAGCCACATCCCCAGCCTCCATTCCCCCCACCTTTTTAAAAATTTTAAAATTTTGAAACAGTGTCTTGCTAAATAGCTGAGGTTGGCCTTAAACTTGGCAATCTCCCTGCTTCAGCCTCCCAAGTTGCTGGCTTTACAGCTGTGTGTGAAAGCAATTTATTTTATTAAGAGACAAGGTCATACTGTGTGGCCCAGGCTGTCTTTGAATTCCTGGGCTCAAGGTATCCTCAGCATCCTAAGGAGTTGAGATTATAAGAGCATGCCACTATATCCAGTGCATTTGTTTTTCTAGCAAAAAAACATCTTTGGTATATTTTGAATATCGTGTCTTTAAATTAACCATCTCATTTTCAAGGATCACTGGCTCCTTTTAGAGGAAAGTAGTGTTAAGAGATAAAAAACTAGGCACTGAGAGATCCATGAGATTTTCTGTATAATGACTAAAGGTAGACAGGATGATACCAGATAAGAAGCTACTTGAGTTAACTGAATTTCTCTCTTTTTTTTTTTTTTTAAAGATAGGGCGTAAGGGAAGAGAGAGAGAGAGAGAGAGAGAGAGAGAGAGAGAGGGAGAGACTCCACTCACCAGATACAAAATATATACCCCAAAGGAAGCCCTCAATGCCCACCCTCCAGCCACTACTTACCA